GTACACACCTGGCAAGTATCGGGTACACACCTGGCAAGTATCGGGTAACGGTGCCGTTTTTTGCGTTGCATTTGAGCCTAACTTAAGTGATATTCATCTTTTAATTTCTCTATGAAGCTTTCTGGGTTGTTTTTGTACAAAAATGTTTTAAAGAACTAACGTTCGATCATTTAACAAACTGTGACTTCATAACGAGTGAGCGGCGTGTCCAGGTGGAGGTCTTCTGCACTAATTAAAGATGCTGCGTCGTCTGGAGGTGCCGGAACAGATCCGGGTCTGATGAAAGGTCCGGCCGAACCCCCAGCTGAGCTCATCGGCTCCGTTACTGATTTATCTCATGTACTCGGCTTCGATGCCGTCTCTCTGCAACACGTCGCTGACTTTTCAATCCTTCGTTCTGGCAGCTTGACGAGCACGACGCACTTGAACCGGTCTGGAATTAAAACATAAAACAAACTGCAGGTTTTTAAAAAACATGACTTTTTCCATTTGTTTCCTGTCATGTAATGCAGCACTTCGGCCTCCAGGTGGCACTCACCTCTTTCACATTATTCACAAGGCCTCAGTTTTAAAACAAGTCTTGGGTGGTTTAACCCAAGGGCAGCAGGAGGGTTGAAATAAGTCGCCTGCTCACTTTACAGAACAACTTGTGTTGCAGCTGCAGACGTTTAGAAAATTAATTAAAATGATTTGTTCCTGTTTTCTTTTAAGCGACTTTTAACTGCAAAGTCATAAAAACTGGACAAAAAATTAATGTAAGAAACGAAATCTGCACAATATTTTTCTTAATTCGATGGTTTTATGATGGAATGACCAGACGTCAGCTGCAGCGTGTTCACCTACAGAAACAGCTGAAGTAGCTGAAAACGGGTCACGGTTTAATTATTAAAATTGTCAAAATAGATAAAAGATAAACGCAACAAAAGGCTAATAGCTATAAGGGTCAAAATATTAGTTTCAAGCTAGCAACAAAAGGCTAATCGCCAAAAGTATAAAAAAATAAGCTAAAAGCTAACGGGACCAAAAGGTTAATAACTAAGTGTAAAATATTAAAAATCTCAGGAACAAACATTTAACTAAAAGCTAAAAGTATCAAAATATTAGCTAAAAGCAAAGAAGAAAAAAGGCTAATAGCCAAAAGTTTCAAAATATTAGCTAAAAGCTAACGGCAACAAAAGGCTAAAAGCTAAAAGTATAAAAATATTAGCTAAAATCTATAAAGAACAAAAGGCTTAAAGCTAAAAATGTCAAAATATTAAACAGAACAAAAGACAATAGCGAAAAGTATCAAAATATTAGCTAAAAGCTAAGAAGATAAAGGCTAATAGCCAACATTTTCAAAATATTAGCTAAAAGCTAATAGCAACAAAGGGCTAAAAGCAAAAGTATCAAAATATTAGCAAAAAGCTAACAGGAACAAAAGGCTAATAGCTAACAGTGTTAAAATATTAGCCTAAACCTAAAAGGTACAAATAGCTCACTAAAAGCTAAAAGTATAAAAAATTTAGCTAAATGCTAACGGGAATTAAAAGCATTCTAAATGTAAAAATGTTGAAATATTAAAGTAACCAAAGGCTGGCTACAAGCTAAAGGGCTAGCTAAAAGCTATGAAAAACATTAGCTAAGGCTAGCTAAAAGATCTGAATCTGACCAGAACCGGGGTTCTTTGGATTCAAAATTCATCCAGACGACAAGAATGTAAAAAACAAATTTATTGTTGTGCAGCTGCGGGAACACGTCTTCACAGCAGGTGGGGGGAGAGTCACCTGTCGAAGCTTCTCAGGTATGACGTCATCGCAGCCGGAGGGAGACTTTAATGACGTGGACGACGGAGCAACGCAGGGCCGCGGTCCAAAAGGTGAAGCAGGGGTCAAAGGTCCAAGAACAAATCCAGTGGGAAGTCCGTAATCCAAAATCCATGAGGCACCAAAGGTACCAGGTCAGATGGGCAGATGGTGCTGATGGAGGTGTTGGAGGCAGAAACACGACAGAATCGTGTTTGACACGATGAAAGAGATTTAAAGAGTCGTTTGTGGAAACATTTAATAAATATCTGTTGTCTGAACAACTTGTTTGGAGAAATCAGACTTCAGTTCTGACCCGACTGATGAGCTACAGTGTCTGCCCCCACCCCCACTCAGTGTACCCAGCCCTGAGCCTCATCCATCCAACCATCATCCATCCAACCATTTATCAACCATCATCCCTCCATCAACCATCATCCATCCAACCATCCATCAACCATCATCCATCCAACCATCCATCATCCATCCTACCATTTATCAACTATCATCCTTCCATCATCCATCCTTGAACCATCCATTATCTATCCACATCATCCATCCTCCAACCATCCATTATTTATCCATCCAACCATCATCCATTCATCCATGCATCTGACCATCTATCCATTGTTCATTGATACAGCCATCATCCATCTATCATCCAACCATCATCCATCACATCCATCCATCCATCAGTTCAAGGGGTCACTGGTGTCCATATCCAGGCATCACTGTGGAAGAGGCAGGGGACACGTGGACAGGTCTCCAGTCCATCACAGAGACACAGAGACAAATGAGACAAACCATTCACTCTCTCTCTCACCTAGGGACAATCCAGAGTTACCAGTCAGTCTAACATGCATGTTTTTGTTCTGTGGGAGGAAACCGGAGAAAACCCACGCAGCACGGAGAGAACATGCAAACTCCACCCAGAAAGGCCCCCAGCTGGGATTTGAACCGGCAACCTTTTCGTTGAGAGGTGGCAGCTCTACCCACTGTGTCACCGTGCCAACCAGCCCCTTCCAACACTTTGCAGGAGAGGACGGCTCGGCCAGAACCTACAGAAGGTTGGCGTGTCCTCAAAGTTCAGCTCCTACTCGTCCACCTTAAAGAATTGTTCATTAAAAAATGATTTGAAGCGTTCGTGACATAATTCTCAGCAGACATGAACTAAAACGCTGATCCGTTTCGTTACATCTCTCAAAACAGGACCTGATGACGTCCAGCCAGTACCGGTAGTCCAGATACTCTCCTGGACTCACCGCATGCTGGTGGCCCGGCGGTTGGGTCTCTCGTAGACTACCCAGAACCCGCGCAACACCTGGATGAACTTGCAGCAGCAGATAAACTTCTTGTTGGGTCATTGTTGGTCCGATGGTACCGACCCTGGACGTTTGTCCTCGAAGGAAAAGATCTGAAAGCAGAAGCTCTTTGGTAAATTGTCTCAACGTGTTCAGATATATTGGACGTAAAGCAGTGAGTGGTCAACAGGTTGAGGGTTCAAAGCCAAAATAAAGCACACAGGTCCAGTGTTCTCTGTGAACAGAACCAGAACAATAAAAGTGAGCCTCGCTGCATTCTTCAATCAGCCGTTCAAATATTTATCCAGGCTCATCGCTTTGTTCCGCGAACAAAGCACAACTGGCTCGCTGACCAACACAGGGTCACTTCAGGACATCTGGGTCGAAACGCAGCGTTCAGAGCTGGGTCCGTGACCCGGCAGGAACACACCAGAACCTTTACTACTGCGGTGTAGCTTTATCCTGCAGAAAGATCCAAAATTTAACAAGTTTAGCTGAAAAAATGCAAAAGGGCCGTAATGTCTGTTTGTTAGCAAAATATCTCAAGAACCACTGGAAGACGTTTAATGAAACAGAAAGTAATCAAGAGACGTGCACCTCCATCTGACCAGCAACGACCAACACAAAACAAACTGAGTTACACAATTTAAATTGAGCACGAGATAAAAAAACAACAACTAGAAGTTCTGCTGAAGAAAACGCATCAGCAAAGAGAGATGTTGCAGGCGGCACGGTGGCTCAGTGGGTAGAGATGCTGCCTCAGCAAGAAGGTTCTGCCAGATCAAACCCTGGCTGAGGGTCTTTCTGGGTGGAGTTTGCATGTTCTCTCCGTGCTGCATGGGTTTCCTCCCACAGACCAAAAACATGCATGTTAGGCTGATTGATAACTCCAAATTGTCCCCAGGTGTCCCTGTGATGGACTGGAGACTTGTCCTGGTGTCCCCGTGATGGACTGGAGACTTGTCCTGGTGTCCCTGTGGTGGACTTGAGACCTGTCCAGGTATTCATGTGATGGACTGGAGA